AGTGTCGAAAGAAGGACCCTCACGGTCAATTTGATTAATGAGGTGGTCAAGGTTGCGGGCTCCAGCCTTATCGAGAGGCTGAAGCCCGAGTTTTTCAAATGAGTTGTGGGAATATTATTGGATCGTCAAAACAATGATGATAACAATAATAAGAATGTTAATGTAGGCCCAATGAAAGCGGCCCTCCGGGTGTTACTCGAAGTGTGCCAACATGGGAGGAATAGGCACATAATCATTGAGGCCGACACCATTTTCCACCTTATTGAGATTGAGTTAGAATTGGGCCTGGCCCAATCAGTGAAGAATAAGAAAATGAGCGAGCTTATATTTTGTCTCTTAGCCCAACTGTGCTCTTGCGCTGATGGGCGAGCCCAATTCCTAGCCCACTCCGGAGGGATGGCTGTGGTGTCCAAGAGGATCTTGCGGGTGTCAGCCGTGGTGGATGACCGGGCGGTGCATATATTCGGGTTAATAGCAAAGTTCTCAGCCACCAAGGAAGTGTTGCATGAGATGTTAAAGGTTGGTGCAGTCTCAAAGCTATGCATGGTGTTGCAAGCAGATTGTGCAAAATATTTGAAGGATAAAGTGAGGGAAATGTTAAGGATGCATGCTTCTGCTTGGAACAACTCACCTTGTATTCAAGTTTACCTTTTAACAAGGTATCCTATGTTACAATTTTGATAGTATAAATGATACATATTGATGATATGTAGTCCGACCCACATTTTTTTAGTATACAACTCTATCAATTTAGCAATGGTAGAAGTCAATTTTTAGGTTTTAGCAAAGAATTGGGTGGAAATTAAATGTGGTACTTTCTTTTACAAATTGTAAATTATCATATAAAATAATACTATATGACTCGAGCTACATCTATTATACATTTATACAGGACTTACACATTTGTAAAGATTTTTATGTCATTGCTATTGTTTATTACATTTATCAATTTCATGTGTTGTACACTATTTCTAGTTTCTCATACCTAGTCGGTATTCGATTTCTTACCGTATAAAAAAAAAAAAATGAAAATCCGAAACAATTATGATAAATGGGATAATGTGTAGAATCGGACTCAAATCCAACAAACATAAACTAAACTTATAACTCCGGCCTCATTGTCATTCCTATTGGGAAAATTATTTTTCAATATTGTGTCCAAAATAATGATCCTAAAATAGTTTTACGTGTAATAATTTTGAATAATCTTACAAAATGTGGCTCAGAAAACCAGATATTGACTTCAATTACGCATTCTAAGTTTGACAAAGTGCTTACTCCCATGCCTTTGATCCATCACGAAATATGGATATAAGGGATAATTAATGTTAATGTTTGACAAATTCAGGGTAATGCTTGGTAGATATGTATGGCTGAGAAAGATGGATAGATTTGATCAAATGTAAACATGTCATACGCACGTTTTCAGTAATTGCATGTAGGATGTTTTATTGATTGGTTGTTATAGACTAATTGTTGAAGGATATCATCATCAGAGAATATATGATTGTGCTGACTAGTTTGGCTATGCTTTAATTTGAAGACCAAATTTTTATATGGCCGATAATGAAGGAGATTGTCTAGAATCAAAATTGTCTTAAATTATACTCTTACCAAATTAATACTTTGATACATAATCATGATATGACATCAAATCTTGTTTGCAATATTATTCTATACAAACTATTTGAATATCAATAGAGGATTAAATATATGTGGTAATGAGTGGTATCTCCTAATATTGGAAAAGAATTTGATGATTGTTACAGAGTATAATACTCGTATTATTCTCTCTTATTCTGGTATATGTTATCCGTCCATATCAAATCATACTTCCTGGCCTTGTTCTGAAAAATAAAGAATAAACTTGTATGTGTGTATAATTGTATAATGTAATATCCACATATTCCATCAAATTAGATGATAATCCACAATAATGAAAGTAGGTATTGATCTATCCCTATTACACATGTATAATCTATAGTAATAGTACCAATTTAATAGTTTCTCCATCTTTTCATTTGGGACAATTTTGCAATGCCTACAATAAAATTGTAGCTATTATAAAAATAAAATCTACACTGTTGATTATCATAATGTAAATAAGGGCCATTGATTTATGATAGAATATAAAATAATTCTGGGCTCAACCATCAGTTTAAGCTTTTGGTTGAGTTGATCCTCTAACATGGTATTAGAGCCAACGTGACAAAAAGGTCAGAGGTTCAAATCTCATCCACCTGGTCCACTAACAATTTAAGTTGATACAAAAAATAATACCCAAAAAAAAATTTGTACTCTGTAATTGTTTTAAGATTGAAAGTAATTACAAGACTACCTTTTTTATGTAGTCATTGAAAAGTCTTCCAGTTGAGTTGATATATTTATACTCTCTTGTAATTGGATGTATGTGAAAGACAAACCAAAGAATTGATTTTCTAAGAAAAAGAGGCAAGCACTAACCTAGGATATTGAACATCACATCATACATGTAATTATAATACTCATATTATACTCCAAGTAAATCCCCCTTGGGCAGCTCACAAAAACCATGGATTGAGAATAAAGAGTAGAGTGAAACTTTTTGACTTTGCTTCGTGTTCATGAGTCAGTTATTCAGATCAACTGCCCTTTTAGTTCGGTTATTATTCAACATTAATTAAGACTAGCTACTTTATGTAAATATTTATAGATTTAATTGGAAATATATTGATCACATGTTCTATGTATAATTGCCTAAACCACATGTTTTATTATCGTCAAACCCAGTGACCAGAGAATAGCATACGTAGCAGTCCATTATTTCTTGTGGTGGTAACACATGCAAATATGCAATTCCATACTCAGATTTTTTTGATTTAATATGTCAAAAACTAATCCGATCAAAGATCTAATCTAGCTTAGGTAGCTGAAACTCAATCGTAATCAAGAAACAAATATAATTTAAAAACATTCTTCAAACTCGCAAGTTAAGCTAATTCATCAACATAATCACACACAACTCGACTTACTTAACATAATGTAAATATATACTTAACACAATCACGTTTTGTGCCAAACTCGAAAAAAAAAAAAAAAATTTTCTCAGGCATTTAGGACACATTGTCTGGTGGATAGAATGGCTAAATGGGACACTAATACATAACATTTTTTTTTTGGTTGGTAAGGAGAATGACCCTACCAGACTGAAACCTCTCACAAGTTCTCTCACTCGGGTTAGCAGACTAGGTATTTTGGGAGTGGGGGAAAGGAAAGAGAATCCCCCCACTAAAGTGTCTCTAATGGGGTTTGATCCCATAAATGCTAGATACATAAGTACATAACATTGAATAGGTAAAGAGTGCAAGTGTTGACAAAAGTAGAGAGAGGTGGTTCAAGTCTTCTGCTTGCTTAACTGCAAGTGGTTAGTTAGCCACTTACCTGGGAAGAAACGGTCCAGTATAAATTTTATGCGGCCGCCATAAGTCAAATTTATAAGCCGGGCCCAGGCCCACTTATATTGGCCCCGGCCCCCAAGTCTATTCTTAATTATTTCCATAGCCGAAATAATTAAGTCCAGTTTACGTAAACATGTCTTTTCACCCTCCACAAAAACGTTTTCTATTCAATTTACTACTCCCTTATTAATATGGTGGGATTTAAACTAATTAATTCTACTTTTAGTATTGGAACTTTTATTTTCATAGTTACGGATTAGTTATTTGCTTTTTATGTAACCAAAGGAACATTTTTAATTAAAAGTTGTGTGCATGTGTTTGATGTGTATATATAAATCAACAAAATTGTATGTAGGTCATTATAGTACTCCGTAGTAAGTGGTGTAGAATTCGAGTACTCTTTGTACGTACAAGTAGCCGAAGTAGGCAAATCTTACAATTGCTACATCGTGCTCGAGTACTGTGTATGATGCAACGATATGTGAAGAGGTAACAATGTGACATGTTCTAGTAGGTAAAAAAAAAAAAAAAGGATCGTCTTTGAATAACAATGACCAACAATGTCTCGCAAGAAATCAGAGAACAGATTCGTTAGAACAAGCTAGCTTAGCTAGGAATTACTATATTGTTATATTATGTACATACGGAGCCATGCTAAATAAGCTACAAAATATCTCTGTTATAAGTACTAACTAAAATGTTTCAAAAGAAAAAGTAGTTACTGAAATAAGGGATTAGTCCGTATTATTTTTGTCTTAATCTAAGATGGTGTAAAGTGTAATAAGCACATGATCCGATGATATATAGCTGGAAAATGACATGGCAAAAGCTGTATTTACATTTCTTATACTTTGTGTTTTATATTTGTCAACTATTCAGGAAGGTGCTAGATTGTAATGTTAAAGTTTGACTTCTTTAATAATTTGGACAATCCTTGCCGAATTGGACAACATGATGAATGATGATAATGGATTTGAAAAGAATCACTCACATTAGGTAGATATTCATGATGGAGAAATTACATGGAATAATGTGTTCTAATAAATCTTGAAAGTTAATATTTTATGTTTATATAATTATATATATATATATATATATTTGATCTAAATCTAAACTATCAATATAGCTAAAGAACCCAATAAATATTAAGGCCTCCATTTTTTCACAACAAAAAATTACAGTAAAAAAAACACTAGTAATAGATAGGGCATCTATAATTCTATATGTATAAAGAAAAGTTGTGATACACACCATAGCGATCATACGTACATACAAAGTATATATACTTGGTATAATAATGTCCACTTGATGGGAATAATACGGAAGGAAATAGCCTGGAAAATAGGTAAATTAGGTATGGCTACTCCTTTCCCTCCTTCAAGAAATTAGCTAGCAAGTAGCAACAAGATCACGATATACTATTCCTTCAACATATACATACTGTATTAAATATGTTCAATATAATATAGTTGACGTCCATAGTATTTTTAAAGTATCACCTCTCATTTTTCCCAACAATATTATACCAAGTATTGTTCAAGATAAGAACAAAATTAACAGAAGTAAACAAGACTTAGATCAGAGTATAATATATCAGATCATTTTTTATACATTAAATTGTGGAAGTACTACAAAAATTAGCACTACATCTTTGTACAACTTGCGTGCATTTCTTGATCTTTCTTCCTTAATAATAATAATAATAATAATAATAATAATAATAATAATAATGTACATAGATGTATACAACTTTTCGTCCATCTGCATTTTAATGTCGTATTAGCTAGTTGTACAAATTAGACTCACTATAATAATATACATAGTGAGTAATGTTCACAAACATCAAAAACTATATATATAATATATTTTTATGTGTATTCTCACCAATGATAATGTTAATGACTAAAGATGATTTTAATTTGTATTGTGCAGTGAAATTAAATTAATTAATCGATGATTTCACAAAATTTTTGAATCTCACATTGAAACCAGTCGTTGACTAAGATCGATCTAATCAATTAGTAGGATATGAAGAAATCAAATGAGGAGGGATGCAAGGAGAATTCTTCCAAACCCTAGAATGCAACCTTAACATTTCTTTAGCCCTCTCTTTAGTCTTTGAACTACAATCCACTTGTATGACCAAGCACAACTTCGCCACCACCCCTACCTCCATCATCTCCCCAACCACCTTCGCCGTTCCCACGTACCTCGATATCGACGACAATATCCTTATTGCCCGGTCACTCGCCACGTGGGACACCCGTAATATCTTCTTAGACACTACCGCTAACCCTGCACCATGCCCTACCAGATCCGCCCTTCCCTCCGCACATCCACATAACTGATCCAACACCACCAACGCCAACTCCGAGATTCGTCGATCCAATCTCTCATCCAAAAGCAGCTCCACCAATACATGGACCGCCCCAGACCCGACCGCCTTGACCCGATTTCTCCCCCAAGGGTTTAACTCAACAACCAACTTCAACGCATTTTTTGTAGCCTCTTTCGAAACCTTGTCTCTTAAAACCCTAACAATATGCGCAAACATCTCATGCTCAACACTACCCAACCGAGTAGGATCCGCTACACTATAAACCATCTTCATCACCTTAATAGCATTTTCTCTCTCTCGATTAGACGACGATTCACTACTTAACAACCCAACTAAAGAATCAATAAACAAATCAGCATAATCATCATTTCTCAAAACCACACTCTTAAACTCTTGATCGTAGCCGTCCATTTGTGCTAGAATAAACACCGCCTCTTCCTTTTCTCTCCTCGTTGCATCCTTCTCTATTAACACATTTGCAACGTACTGGATACCTCCACAAGTAACTATAATATTCTTGCATCTCGACGAGTAATAACGAGTCGTGGCTGGAGCAATAGAGGACCGAATTCTCTGCAAGCAGGTGTACCTCAACTGTTGTGGTGACTTGCTCGCATCGGAGATTAACTTGCTGATGTTAGAATGTGTTATGGTAGGGGGTTGTGTTGGAGTAGGGATACGCTCTACGCCGTAAGATGCGTGAAGAGTACACCATGATTGAATCAGACGGCGGAGAGTGTGGTTAGGGGTAATGACGAAGCTAAGATCATCATCAAGGGGTTGTTTGGTAACAGGACAAATGGTTTTATTACAAGAGAATAGCCATTTTTCAATAAAATCTCTATCAAAAGTAATACCAGTTGATATTGTAACTGGATCTCTCATTAATTGGAGCGAAATTGGGCATAGGAAATGTGATGGGATCTCAATATTCACCTCCATTTTTATTTATTTTTTGCAGTGATATAAAATAAAAGTATATATATACTATACTGTATATGTATAGAAATAGTAGTAATATGTAACGGAAGAAGCAGATCGAACTTAATTGGGTGTAGAAGGATGAAGTTATATATATGTGAAGAAATGGTAGGAGAGAGAATTTAATATGAATGAATGAAATCAGGCCATGTTTACAACTTGTAATTACAGAAATCAGATGCAAAGTCAAACACGTTATTTTTCAATCCGGGAGAATTGAAAGGAATTTTTTTTTTTTTTTTAAATTTGTTTTTATTTGTTTTTTTTTTTTTTTGGTGTAAGTAGACGACTTTTTATTAGTTGGGCCTTGGGAGGAGAAAAGCTAAAATTTGACCTATTGGCAGCTCAATAAATAATAAATAAAAAAGAAATGAAAAAATATTTGAGTAAAAAAAATATAAAATGTAATTAAGAAAAGATTAATGGAAAAAAGTGGAAGTTAATATAGGGAGGAAAGAGTGGCCACATCTCTTGAAAATGGGAAAAATGGCTCAACGGTCGGTGTAATAATGTTAATTAGAAGAAAGAAGAAAGAGGCTCCTTTATTTTGACTTTTTTAAAAAGTCCAAGGACTAGCTCCCATAAGTCACGTTCATTGGTTAGTTCTACAAGGTTTTATTATACTACATCTACTCTTAATTATTATATGGTCTGATTTTCCTTAAAAACTTTTGCATGAACTAACTCCCATCAACTTCTTCTTCTTTTTTTTTTTTCTTTTTCTATTGTAGCTAGAAATTAAAGAAATAATAATTATCTCAAAATAAAATAGGAAATAATAATTCATAAAATAAATAATTTTAGCCGTTTTTTTAAAACAAAATTTATTAAAAAAAAGTTATAACTCAATAAAAGTGTTAAAGTTTCTTGTGGTAATAAGTGTAGAGTTTCTTAATTTAACGTAATCAATTTTATACATACATTAGCATGATAAATAGGAAGCCATGGTGGCCTGATATCTACCCATGAGACCATGATGATACTCATTTATTAATCATAATAGCTTTTGAACTATTAAGCCCTTCAACTTGAGTAAATTCGATTATTGATTCAATTCTTCAAGCATATGCATGAGATTTACTTTTAAAACTTGTTGTTAGAGATATCGGAATTTTCTTGTCTAAAATGGTTGAAAGTCTAACTGGCTAATACAAGAGGGGGGGTGAATTGTATTTGAGGTGAAATCTAAAAACTTTTGCGGAATTTAACTAAATGAAATAATGACGAGAGAAGATATAGGCTTTTCTAAATTTCCACTATGTAATCAAACTCTTTACAAGTGAAGATTCAAACCCGTTAACAAGTTCCACAAACTAGGAACTTGTTCCCAACTCTCACAGAAGCCTTCAGCAACGAAGCTTCCTTGACCTCACTTTACAAACTCACAATCCCAACCCCTAAGTACTTGAATACAATCTGTGATTACAAATACCTATTGCACTCAAGAATATATGAAGGAAAATAACTCTCTTTATGTTATTAGATGGCTACTGGAATTTTTATGCTCAAGAGTTATATTTTTCTGAGATAGTTTGCACGAGTATTTATAGAGAAGGCTTAGTCATTAACCTCCACTATAATCACGTCCACATGCCAACAACCCACTAACAACTTGTGGAGTTATCTTGACAGATGGTAATCATGAAGAGGTTTCCTAGCCTTATCTAATTAGTCCACTATCTTAAACAACTTGATAATCATTAGCCGTATAAAGATTTTCACACAGAAAAACCGCTTGCTATCCTTATCAAATATTTGTTTAAAAAGATTATCAAAAGTTTGTTTAAAAAGATTTTATTTGAAAAGATAAATTTATTATTTATTAAAACAACTAGATAATTATCTTCGATAATTATCTTTATTAAAACTTTTACAAATTATCTTTTCTTTAAGAAATTATCTTTTAAAACTAACTTTTATTCCAGTAGTCTTTTTAACATAAGTCATTGAGTTCCTTTCCGACTTTATAATATTGAGTGCTCACAATTAAAACTAGAACGTGAGATTTGCACGAGGCTTTTTAGAGAATGCTACTCCGCATCCAAGTTCCTACTCCGGAACGAACTTTGCTTGAATCCTTTATTCACCAAAGACTCAAAACATTCATTAGTCGAGTTTGTCAATTTGTCCATCAAAACCAAAAGGCTCAACAAATTCCCCCTTTTTGATGATGACAAACATTGACAAACTTAGGTAAATAAAATCATCCAGGCATGCAACAAAAATTTAAAGTAAGGCATGAAAACAAAAAAAACAATTAAAGAACTTAGAAAAATATTAAAAAGTTTTTTTTTTTTTTTTTTTTTTTTTTTTTAAAAAAAAACTGAGCAAAAGAAAAATTAACAAAGACTTTAAAAACTGAACTTAGCAAAAGTTTGTACCTTCGATGTGTGAGTTCCTTGGTAAACACTTTAGCCGCCATGAAGTTTGTCTTTTCCCCCTTTTGGCATTATCAAAAGATTGAAAAAAAACATTTTGCTATACTCCCACTAGACTACGTAGGGAATAGTGAGCTCAAATAATGCAAGGCAAAAATAAGTTAGGTACCAAATTATCAGCAAACACACACAATCATATGAAAAATACGAGCCAAGTTCCGATTTAGGAAATAGAAGAGGAACATAGAGAATGTAGCAAAGGATAAAGGCGTACAAACCAAAGTTCAGAGAGATTAAACAAAACCAAAATAAAATTGTTCAACATATGAAATTAGAATAAGTGCAATCAAGGATTTAAAAGGCTGCATTGGTAGGATCAAGGGTTGGATTTGTGGGATCAATAGAGTCTTCCTCGACTTCCTCAAAGGCTACTCTGTTGATAGTTTCCAAGATCTCCTTGTTGCCTTCACTAAACTTGCCTTCAGCCTGTGCAAGCTTTGCCTCTACGCCTGCAAATCCGGTTGCTTGAGAATCTGCCAGAGCCTGCACCTGGCCTTTAAGAGAAAGCAGTTCCGAGGCCATTTCCTCCAGTTTCTTGCTCACCAGAGTAGTCAACTTCTCCATATCTGCTTGAACCTGTTGAAAATCATAAACAGACACACGAGTTCCAGAGAAAGCAGCAAAGCCAGTAGGCTGAAATGGAGGAGGAGAAGGTGAATGAGAAGGCTGCCTAGTAGGTGAGACAGGAATAGAAGAGGGTTCAGTGGAAGAGGGAACTTGGGTGGGTTTGAAGGTGGAATCAGATTTGTCTGAGGAGCTGATGGTTTCTACAGTCACAGGGTGTGTAGTAGAAAGGGCAGGCTTGACCACATTCCTCTTACTCCTTCTAAGGCCCCCTGTAAACACAGGAATGACAGGTGGTCCAGCTGTGCTCTCAGAGTCTGTGGTATGTTCCCTCTCACTTTGATCAGTTCCCTGCCCCTCATGTAAGTCAGATTGTCGAGCTTCCCCCTCAGAAACTTCCATATGTTCCCCCTCAGAGTCTTCCTGTTTTTCTCCTTGCACATCTCCCTCAAGTATTTTTTTCTTTGTTTTTCTCTCCGTTAGAACTTTTTTCTTCTTCCTTATCTCCCTCAGAATCACTGGAGGTGGTAGCACCCTCACTAGCCTCCTCACTACCCTGGTCACTGCTTGCATCACATTCTTCCTTAGCTTCTTTCCCTTTCCCTTTCTTTTTCTCCCCTCCTTTCCGAGGCACAAAACATACTTTGCCATTTGTAAGCCTAAGACTCAGTCTAAGTAATGATTGTTCAGAGAGGATATTATCGGGTTTGAGATATGTTGGGGATTCACATTCAACATCAATACCAAAAGATTTGAACAACACAGTAAGGAAAGAGCCATATGGAATTGTGGTCTTTTGAGCATAAAAATTCAAGTGTTCAATCATTAGAGCAGGGAAATTAATCTGTATTTTGCATGCAAGACAGAATATGAGGGAGGCATCCAAGAGTGATACGGTACTCCGTTTTTGTAAACGGGGTACTATACCCTTCCAGGTGAAGGTAAACAGTAGCTTATGAAGGGGTGTTAGGGCATGATGGTGAGTAGTTTTCACTTTCGGATTTCCTCCAATAAATTGAAGGATTTTGCATTCATCATTATGGCCAATGTTTACAGATTGTTTGTGCTTTAAATAAGAACAATAGCCTTTAACAGGAACTTGAAATAGATTTCCAAGATAATTGGCATCAAACGAAATTGGAATATCATTAACTACGGCCGAGCACACACCATTATCACATTGAAAGGTATTTTTGAACTCATAAATAAATTTAGGATAAACAGGGTAATGAGAACAATTCTGGAACAAGTGAGTCCATTTTTGATAATCAATTAAAGAAGTAAATTCAGTGAACTTACTCGCCACACACCAATCATAGTTGATGTGATATCCGAGAGTGTAATTCCATGATGGGAATTTGGTGGTTGCGCGCCGTTTCCTGTCGCCGCCCTTCACAGCCTTAGCCTTCCTCTTTGGCTGAGCAGATGGATGCACCACCGCAATTGGCACCGGTTGTGGAGACCCCGTGTTTGAGGAGGGTTTGAATGGTGGTGATCGGGTTTTTGGGGTGGTGTTTCGGTTGGTTTTCATGGTGTTGAAGGTAAAATGAAGGGAAGGAGAAGATGAATAGTGTGAATAGGAAGGAGAGAGAGTGAGGCCGGTTATGGGAGTGTATGGGGAATTTAATTGATTTGATAGGTGAAGGTGGAGTGAAAAGAAGAAAAAGAGTTTAATGGGGAGGAGTGAGAAAGAAAAGTGACGGTTTAAACTGTGAGGTAGTGGGGTAGTTTTAGAGGTAGTAGGATTTAATTTGGTGAAATAATTGCACTCATCTAATTCAATGTTGATAAAATAAAATCGTAAGTTAAGAAGTTGATATACATGCTTCTTATCTTACGTAGCAAATAAGATCTTTTTGTATTTTTGAATTCTATGAGGAATAGAAAAATTCATCATGAAAAAATAAGGAAGGAAAAAGATAAGAATAAAAAATAAGATAGAAATAAAAGATAAGAAAGAAAATAACAAGAAGAAAAATAAAAAAAACGAAAAAGATAAATGAGAGCAGATTGATTGTAAATTATGATGATAATTTACGTGATCATGATACAGAGAGTAAAGAATGATGAAAAAGGAACTTGAAACAACATGGCTCAATACTTTTAACATATTAAAAGTATGTATAAGTGACTTTTCAATACTTCACAAATCTTTCCCCTGGGTAATTTCAGCTGTGTTATTCACACAAGATTGAGCGTAGCATTGTTAGTTACATCCGATTTTACCTTAGGGGTTCCAAACAAAAATCACTTGAGCCGTAGCATCCCCAATTCCACACGCATCTTTTCAAACTTGTCTCTGCTTAAAGGCTTAGTTAAAATGTCAGCAATTTGAAATTCAGTAGAAATAAAATCTAGCTTAATTAAGCCCTTTTCAACATTATCTTTCAAAAAGTGATGCCTTATATGTATATGCTTAACTTTAGAGTGTTGTACTGGATCTTTAGAAATGCAAATGGCACTTGTGTTATCACAATGAATAGGAACGCACTCTAAAATAATGCCATAGTCACGCAACTGTTGTTTTATCCATAGCAATTGAGAGCAACATGCAGCAGCAGCCACATATTCTGCTTCGGCAGTGGATAGAGCAACAGTGTTTTGTTTCTTGGAACTCCAAGAAACCATGCAAGAGCCTAAGAATTGGACTATACCTGATGTGCTTTTACGATTGACCAAATCTCCTGCATAGTCAGCATCAG